CCCCCCCCCCCCCCCCCCCCCCCCCCCCCCCCCCCCCCCCCCGAGTTATTTTATGTGGCAGCTAAGCTCCCCATGCACTGCTCCCCAATGTTTGGGGCCGGGGGAGAGACCTGCCTGCCGCCTCCACACACCTCCCCCGAGTGTCCCCCAGCCTCACTTGCTGCCCCTTCACTGCCCTCCCGGAGCCTGCAGCTCACACTCTGCTCTGCCGGCTTCTGGCATCACTTGCTGCCGCAGGCTCCTAGTGCCCCCCTCCACTAGGGTCAGGGCAGGCTGCCCTTCCCCTGCCCTAGTCCTGAGCCTCTCCAATGCCCCAAACCCCTCATCCCCAGCCCCACAGCCCTCACCCCTGCACCCCTTCCTATCCCAAAACTCCATCCCAGAGCCTGCACCCCCACCCCTGCCCCAGCCCAGAGCCTGTACCCAGCACCCAAACTCCATCCCAGAGCCTGCACCCCCACCCCCTGCCCCAGCCCAGAGCCTGCATCCAGCTCCCAAACTCCATCCCAGAGTCTGCACCCCAGACCCCCTCCCCCATCCAAACTCCCTCCCAGAGTCTTACGCAGGTGGTGGCAGAGTTTGGGGGGGCAGGTTTTTGGCACCACCAAAATTTCTACAAACCTGCCACCCCTGGAAGAGGCAGAGCAGGAGTGGAGTGGTGGTGCAGCCCAGTGCAGTGGGGGGGCTTTATTACGTGTATATATATTATTAAAACCGCTTGGAAGAGGTGGTGGAGAAGAGATGGGGCAGGGGAAGGGCCTCATGGAAGGGGTGGAGTGGGGGCGGGGCCAGGGGCAGCGAGGTAGGGTGTCAGTGATGCAACCCTCGGGTCAATGCACTAGTCCTCATGTGGCCCTCGCGGTCATTTGAGTTTGAGACCCCTGGACTAGACTGACCATTAGTCAGCTGAGTATTGCAATTCCAGTGTTCCAACTTTCAAATATTTTAGCATAGCTTTTATTTTCATGTGAGACACCACCAGAAGCATTGCCTCTGGGTCTAAACAAAAAAAAAAAAAGTTTGAATCAACCGATTTTTAAAATTAATTAATATATTACCAGTTGCTGGATAACCCTCTCCACCAAGGTGGTGAAGCTAATGTCGTCACTTTCGCGGTTGTCGTACATGTACTTGACAAGCTTGGCAATGGTTTCTGTGTCGGTCTCAGACTCAAAATCATACCCTTTGCTTTCCTGAAAGCAAACCAAAAAACCCCAGGTTGTTATTACTGTTCATTATTTGTAATGTCTAGAAGCGCTAGTCATGGACCAGAACCCCATTGTGTTGGGCACTGCACAAACTCAGAAGAGAGAGATGGTCCCTGCCCCCAAAGAGCTTACAATCTAAGTGTAAAACAAGAGACAAAGATTGATACTGACAGATAGAAGAGTACAAGGAAATAATGAGACAACAGTGGTCAGCCTGATACGCAGCGGGTCTCAGCACACCAGCACCTTAACCGCTGTCAAGTTTTTTGTAAGCATCATGGAGGGTTTTGAAGGAGGACAGGGTGGTAGCTTTGCAGATGTTTACAAGGAGCTCCTTTTAAGCACAAAGGTGCTAGTTTGAAAATGTAACAAGTGGATGATGGAGGCTGCAATCATGGGCCGATCAGCGTTGGGAGTTGATAGTGAATGAAAGATGATAGTTGGGTGGAGATAAGCAGTGAAGGGCCTTGAAAGTGAAGACAATTAGCTTATGTCTGATGAGCTGGAGAAAGGGGAAGCAGTAGAGGGATGACATGGTCAAAGTGACAAGCTAGAAGAATTATCTTGGCAGCAGCATTCTGAATGGATAGGAGCAGATTCTGAATGGATATTTGTCAAGGCTAGAGACAAGAATGTAGCAAATCAAGACACGAGATGACGACATTAGACTCTTTGGTGGGAACAGATTCAGTGGAGCGCAAGGGGCAGAAACAGGACTGGAGAAGAACTCTAGACAGTGATTGTACACAGCAAATTCAGTGATCTTAGAGATGAAAGGAAGAGGCAGAGATGGGGAAGTAGCTGGAGATGCAGATGGGCTCAAGGTTTTTTGTTTGTTAAGATGGGGAGACTAAAGCATGTTTGTATTGTGAAGGGTAGAAGACAGAGCAGAGTGAGAAATTAAAGGAAAAGAGTAAGGGATGGCATCAGAGTGGATGCAAGGGAGATCTGCAGATGAGATGTGATGGGGCTGTTCACTGTTAATGTAGACAACAGAGGAGAGTCTTGCAGGACACACAAAAACAGTAACTGCATAGACTGCCCCTATTTAAGAAGCTCCCTAAGTAAGGAAAAACAATTCAGACAAGAATTCATATCAACCAGTTTCGTGCACAACAAATATCTCCACAACAGTCTTTTTTCTTGTATAATCTGTCTCACGCTATCCATAAATCAGGGTGCTTTGGATGTATGAAACTGGGTACAGGGCACGTGGGAGCAACTCTGTCAATAGCAAAGATCAAAGGATTATGAAGTCCTGTTAGCAGAATGGTCAGCTGGCAATGCAATTTCCATTACCCTCCAAAGGCCAGAGCATCAAAACAGTTCCTTCATCCTGAAAGAGAAGATTCCCAACCTCATACACATGAAGGTATGATCAATCCATGAGACTTGAGGGGTAATTTCCATCCCTTCAATTTCTACTCTCCACCCACAAACCAGATCAAAGCATGGGCAGCCACATGAACTGAGTTTATGGCCACCTGAGATAATCCCATGGTCACCATGAAGTCTTCAGCTGTCTCAGAAGAATCTCCAGTTTCGTATATTAAAATCGCTGGGCACTATTACCACCTGTGGTTTCCACACCACAGTAGCAAGAAATTTAGGCAGCTAATCAAGGACTTTGAGATTTAACCAGCACTAGGTGCCATTATAACTTTATCCCAGCGCTTAGAGACACAGCTAGTTTTACTTACCAAAAATTTTCTCAGATCTTTGTAGTTGGTTATAATGCCATTGTGGATAACAATAAATTCTAGAGAATAAAAAAAAAAAGTGTTAATTCTAAAAGAAATGTTAATATTTTACATACCTTAAACACCTTATGAAACATTTTATTCTAATAAGCATACTTACACAGTAGTAGAAGCATCAAAATAGTGAATGGCTTCTATAATTCACTGCAGTTACCCTGCACAGATTGCTCTCTGTTAGCAAGGACTGTTCTAAGCTGTATGCAGTAATACCATCTAGGACAGTGGCTCTCAAACGTTTTTTTACTGGTGACCCCTTTCACATAGCAAGTCTCTGCGTGCGACCCACCCTTATAAATTAAAAACACGTTTTTTATATATGTTTAACACCATTATAAATGCTGGAGGCAAAGCGGGGTTTGGGATGGAGGTTGACAGCTCGCAACCCCCCATGTAGTAACCTCGCGACCCCAAGGGGTCCCAACCCCCAGTTTGAGAACCCCTGGTCTAGGACTTATGCTATGCCTTTCCATCAATAAATCTCATTGTGCATTACAAAGATGGAGAACTTATTTTACAGATGGAGAACTTAAGGGACAGAAACATTAAGTGCTTTGCTCAAAGGCCTGTGTTAGAAGTAGACCATTGAATAACCTTTTAAGAGCAAATATTTCAAAGAAAACTCACCGATCTGTCATCTTTTGAGGGTGGCTTATTTAACTTTCATGGATTTTTAAAAAAAATGTATTTAATGCATCCAGCTGCCACGATGATATGCCGTGTATTAGTAAATACCAATTACATGACAATGTTCTCTTAGTATCATTGCATGCAATACAGAATAGAGATAATTTTCCTAATGTAAAAGACGAGAATCTAGGCCAGCCTTCATGTGTGCCATTACCCTAAATTACTATACATGTTAATCACATCAGGTCTTAGTGCTGAGGACGTTAAACACGCACAAACCATTTTCCAAGTCAATGGTTGTATTATTTCCGTTTCAAGCATTTAGAATCACAACACATTTGAAGGAGCAGACAAAGTAGTTTTGCAGAAGTCTTGTAACCGGAAGATTACTGAATATATTTAATATATGCTTGTAACAACTTTATGTGCAGTGCTCATCTAAACAATATACAATTAGCGATGATCCTTTTCTATATGAGCTATTATTGTATCTCATTTGGTTTGTTTGTTACAATACAAAAATCAGATGGTGAGAGCCAAAATTGGTTCCATTTCAAAATCTTCAGAAACTGGTTGGTAATGTCTCCTGGAATTCTAAATAACTTGGGCTTGTGTTTTAATCCAATCAATTTTCACTGAACCGTTTGACACAACACTTAAATCACGCAGGGTGAGCTTAACAGGGATGGAGGATGGTCTTGTGTTTAAAACACAGGACAGAGAACACCGGGTTCTATTCCCAGCTCTGTCACTGGCCTGCTGGGTGACCCTGGGCAAGTCATTTCACCTCCCGTGCCTCAATTTCCCCACCTGTACAGTGGGGATACTTTGTCAAGTGCTTTGAGATCTCGGAATGGAAAGTTCTGTAAGAGCTAGATATTGTTGTTATTATTACCCAGCTCTGCCACAAACCATCATCTGTAAGTGAGAATGCTAACGATTACACAGGTAGCCTGAGGATAGGTTCATCACAGTTCGTAAAGCATTTGAGATTCGAGCTGGTGCATAGATATAAATAAGAGCCAAGCTGCCTTCTGCAGCAATACAAAGGACAAAGCAACCTTTACCAAATGATGGCCAAAACAGAGAAATAAACAAAGAAAATTACATTATAAAAAAAAAAAAACCTATTTGTTAGCAACATCCCATTTATGATGATGGTTGGGAAAATTCCTGTAGGCCTTGAGATCTTACTTTTTCAGTCAATATTGATTTACTGAAGTCCCGAGGCACTATCACAATGCAAATAATGAATACGACTGCCTCTTACTGCAAGTGATTCATCATCATAATAAAAAGAGTCTGGTGCTGTTCTTATTGAAGTCAATGACCAAACTCCGGTGGGATTCAAAAGGAGCAAGATTCGGATCATGGCCTGAAACTGAAAAATGATTCCTACCCCCTGCCTCCAAGCACGTGCTCTCACAGAGGCATAGGCAGCACTGCACCAATAGAGTTTTAGTATGAAGTACTGAATTAAGTGACAATTTGCAAGAGCATATTCATCGCTCAGAATTCCCAACAGCCATTATTCTCCCCATTCACACAAATAAATACTTCCCCTTGCAGTGCAGGGTCTTACCATTGTTTTTATCTGAGCGCTGCGGGTGGCTATTGACAGGATTGGGCTCACCATGGGTAGCCCATCGGGTATGTGCGATGCCAAGATGTACATCAAACTCGATGTCCAGGTCCATATCCTGTTGTTCTGCAGATGGAAGTGTAAAAATGTTACATTATCAGGACCTGATCCAATTCACATTGAAAGCAACATAAGAGATGGGTCAGGCTTTCAGAGCGTAACAGGCAATGCAGTAAGTTACATAGAGACTGACATATTCAAGTAAAAATATAATCAGAAAATTATTAGCACAAAGCAAGCAAAACATCAGGTTTACAGTTATTGGCAGTCAAGACCATGTCAAGGCCCCAGCCAATAAAGTGATGATTTCTCACGCGATGAAGGATCTTTCCATGTGAGATACACAGCCTGATCCTGTGAACCCTTTCCTCTGAGCCACATTACTGATCAGTACCACTGACTCATGTGTACAGGTTTGCAATATCAAAGATCAAATGTTTAATTTAACTGCCGATCTTTTAATAAATTTACCAACATGATTTTCTTCTAGGCTCTCCACCCACAGAAAAATTGGAGCATCCTGAGTATTGCCTATTAACGCCAAAGCTGTTTGTGGGCAGGTGTGAATATTCTCTAAGCTCTTCTTCGGGCAAAAAGTATCCCAACACCAGGGCATTTCCAACAAGTTCACAAAATCATTTCAGTTTTTCAGCAAGAACATCTTTGTCTCAGGAGTTCACTTGTTTTGCCACACTGAGTCCTCAATAAGAAGCAATTAGACAGCATCACTTGTTTATACTGTATATATTTTCTCCTGAGAACATTTTCAACTCTGATAATCTTTTCTCCTGCATATTGAGGAAATATCTATGAATTTTACTTGTGTAGCTTTCGCATGCTTTTATTAACCAATAAACCAATGGGAACATGATTGTGCAACAATGGGAGAGTCTTACAAAACTAGGACCATAATTCTCAAACGTACACTTCACGAGCTATTAAGAAGTTCATAGCACTTGTTAGTAAAGAATAAACCTGTTATGTTAGACAATCATTTACTCAGTGTTCTTCTCAATTGTCTGTTTCCAGTCTATCAAGCCTTCTTCAGGAAAGCTTTAGTGAGAAGAGGGTGGGAACCGGTAAACTGAGTAAAAGCTCTCATACCAAGCAGTGAATTATTGTACAATATAGCAATTGGCAGCTATGCCTTCCATTCTCCAAGTAGTTCTGTGACATGCCTGTCTATCCCCCCAGCTCAACCTCTTCCAACTTACTATATGGCCTTCAGTTTATTTCACATACCTATAAAGATACATTAACAAAATTATTCATGTGGCTGTTTTGTAAGTCTCACTCATCTGGCGATTCCATTCCTTTTTATTCTCAAAAAGAAAATAACCTTTAACAAGTCATCCAATTTTATTTTCTTCCCTTGTGTTGGCCCATCATCTATTGAAATATTAGCTCTGCCTGACCAAGCATAATCACCTTACACAATATTAAATTAGAATCCCCAACAGTAACAATTTAGTGCCTGGAAAGTATCAAATTAATCTTCTCTTGGTAGAAGTTCATCCTTTTGTTCAGAGATTACCTTTTCTGTCTTTCTTAATAGCTTTTCATAGACCATAATATAGTTTTCTAAATTGTTTTTAGTTTTCTAAATTGATTTTACCACAAGTGCTTAAATCTTACCATTATTCCAGTGTCTTTCTTTTTTACTGAATATATACAATATAGCCTTGTTTATTCAGACTTTGGACTTAGCTGAATTAAGGTCAGGTCCACGCATTTCATTTGGATCAATGAGGTTTTACTATCTTAGTAATGGTAAAATTACATTAAAAGGCTACAGAATCAGTTTCTCGTAAGTTTCATATATGAGAATCCTTTAAGTTAAATAAATATGCTGTAACTGAAGTTACTAACACCCGAAAATCAGGATATTACCTAGAAACAGACAACCATCAACTATGGTGGCAGATACCTGCAAGTTCATGCAGTGCTTACCCATACTTTACAGAAAACAATTGTTTGCAGTTTTGTTTCCTGCAGAGATGTGACTAATTTAAAATCTGACTCTATCCAGGACATAAAAGGGTTTAGAAATAGAAAGCAGAATACCTCACTTCCTGCTTTCTCATCAATTTGACAGTTCCACTTATAAGTATATTAGTATTTTTTCTTAACCAATTCCTTAGCTCATCTACTGCGCACCTCAAGATAAAACTAGGTTTGCACTATAAGATGTTTAGGTTATTCAGAAACTCAAAGTCAATTTATTAAGGCTAAATTCAAAATGTCCTAGTGGATGATTTTTTCCTGCTTGCAGGGGAGGAGGGAGTTTATTTTTTAGAACTGAAATAAAATATATCCATATATAGATGGATTCTTATTAATGCTGTAATATTATTTTCACTATTTTGCTTTATTTGGATGAGAAACCAATGCACAGTTAATTTTCTAAAAGGTTGCTCCTTATTTTGAGAACATTTTAAATTTACCAAGCTAAATGGGCCCCAATCCAGCAAATATTTACAAGCACTTGTGAATCCTAGTGAATTAAATGGGACTACTCTTGGGTGTGAAGTAAGGCTGTCGATTAATTGCAGTTAACTCACGCGATTAACTCAAAAATATTAATTGTGATTAATTGCAGTTTTATTCACACTGTTAAACAATAGAATACCAATTGAAATATATTAAATATTTTGGATGTTTTTCTACATTTTCAAATATATTGATTTCAATTACAACACAGAACACAAATTATACAGTACTCACTTTATATTATTTTTATTACAAATATTTGCACTGTAAAAATGATCAAAGAAATAGTATTTTTCAATTCACCTCATACAAGTATCGTAGTGCACTCTCTTTATCATGAAAGCGCAACTTACAAATGTAGATTTTTTTTTGGTTACATAACTGCACTCAAAAACAGAACAATGTAAAACTTTAGAGCCTACAAAACCACTCAGTCCTACTTCTTTTAAAGCCAATCACTAAGAGAAACAAGTTTGTTTACATTTACAGGAGACAATGCTGCCCACTTCTTATTTACATCATGGCACTTTTGTAGCCAGCATTGCAAGGTATTTACAGATATGCTAAACATTCGTATGCCCCTTCATGCTTTGGCCACCATTCCAGAGGACATGCTTCCATGCTGATGACGCTTACTGAAAAAATAATGCGTTAATTAAATTTGTGGCTGAACTCCTTTGGGGGAGAATTTTATGTCTCCTGCTCTTGTGTTTTACCCACATTCTGCCACATATTTCATGTTATAGCAGTCTTGGATGATGACCCAGCATGTTGTTCATTTTAAGAACACTTTCACTGTAGATTTCACAAAATGCAAAGAAGGTACCAATGTGAGATTTCTAAAGATAGCTACAGCACTCAACCCAAGGTTTAAGAATCTGAAGTGCCTTCCAAAATCTGAGAGGGACGAGGTGTGGAGCATGCTTTCAGAAGTCTTAATAGAGCAACACTCTGAAGCAGAAACCACAGACCCCGGACCACCAAAAAAGAAAATCAACCTTCTGCTGGTGGCATCTGACTCAGATGATGAAAATGAACATGCGTTGGTCTGCACTTCTTTGGATCGTTATTGAGCAGAACCCATCATCAGCATGGACGCATGTCCTCTGGAATGGTGGTTGAAGCATAAGGGACATATGAATATTTAGCGCATCTGGCACGTAAATATCTTGCAATGCTGGCCACAACACTGCCATGAGAATGCCTGTTCTCACTTTCAGGTGACGTAGTAAACAAGAAGCGGGCAGCATTATCTCCTGCAAATGTAAATAAACTTGTTTGTCTGAGCGATTGGCTTTAAAAGAAATAGAACTGAGTGGACTTGCAGGCTCTAAAGTTTTACATTGTTTTATTTTTGAATGCAGATTTTTTGTACATAATTCTACATTTGTAAATTCAACTTTCATGATAAAGAGATTTGACACAGTACTTGTATTAAGTGAATTAAAAAATACTACTTTATTTTTACAGTGCAAATATTTATAAAAAATAAATATAAGGTGAGTACTGTACACTTTGTATTCTGTGTTGTAATTGAAATCAAAATATTTGAAAATGTGGAAAACACCCAAAAATATTTATATAAATAGTAGTCTATTATTGTTTAATTGCGCGATTAATTTGTTTAATCGCTTGACAGCCCTAGTGTGAAGTTAAGCAAGTGCTTAAGTACTTTGCTGGATTTGGGCCTTAAACTGTACTGATCTAAAAATTTCCACTTAATTAATACAACACAGAGATTAACTCAATATAATCAGTCAAATTTGTGAATTTCAGATTGTATGATGAACAAACCCTTAAAGAATATTTAAACTCCCTTGCCCTAGAAAAAACCCTAAGATGTTTATTAATACTTTTTTAGTTACATCTTCCACTAGTAAAGACATTTTTCTCCCATGTAAAACAGCACTGTACCTTTGTGTGTATAGCGGCATATCAACACATAGCTGATGATTTTACTAGGATTCAGCTTGACAGATCAAAGACTTCCTTGTTCAGAAGTTGTGTCCCCAAACAATACTAAGGACAGAATACGTACGATACAGAATATCTCAATATACATGAGATTGAGGTTAAAGAGTACTTAACATGCAAAGAATCTCAAGATATTTTTGGAAAGGGGAAGTGTAATACATACTGTTAATCTCTTCATCCAGAGCCTTCACTTTCCCCTTCTTTTTGATTAGTTGGATTTTGCCGGCATTAGCCTCCCAGTCTTTGTCATTTCCTCCATCGATTCCCACACCTAACAGTTTCCCGCAAGAAACAACAAAAATTGTGAAGCACAGAAACTTATGTTGCACCATCTGTGTTTCATATTCAAGAAAACTGAGGGACAAACTTCAGGAACATATTATTAAAAGGCACGTTCAAATCCCTGAATGAAAGGCATTGAGAATATTTTTATGTAAATCTGCAATTACTACTCAGAAAACTTTTTACGTACTTTGGTGCAACAATGTTTTAATTTCCCGAAAACAGGAGGGCAGCGGAAAGCAAAGACTTATTTGTGACCACCTGCCTAATAAGCATACCAGTAAAATGGCAATTTACAATATAAAAAGAAAAATAATTGTTACTTTATCGAATGACCTACCTGCAGAATCATATCCTCTGTACTCCAATCTCTGAAGCCCTTTGATAAGGGTCTCCAGGATCTCCCGTCTTGTCCGGGGAACATGGTAGTTTAGGTAAGCAAAGATGCCTAGGGAAAAGAAAGGTATATTCTAAGAGTGGTCCACTTAACTTGATGACAAAGCACCAAATGACAGAATGTTGTGTTGGATTTCCACAGGCACAAAGGATAAGGTGCAAGATCTGCCATGCTGAAGTTAACCCTTGCCGTTGTACATTATAATTCTCTTGCAGGAAAGTCCCATTAAATTCTTATCCTTTCCACCCCTATTCTAAGTTCTCTAAGGGCAGGGACAGTGTTTACACTTGGGAAGCCAAAGCTAAAGCATCAGCCCCACTATTTACATGGCACTAAAACCAACTGAACAAAGTAGTCAACCAATAGAGAGAAGCTTGGTAGAGCTGGGGACTGAACTTTCACGTGAGCTGGACTTTGACTATGGAACTCACTGCCCGAAGACAGAACAACCACCAAACTATTTCCGAACTAAAGTTCAGATTCAGGAAACTGCTAAAGCAAATGCTTAATTTAAGCACCTACTTAAGCACTGTCCTGAATAGGATTTTTTTCCTGAACTGGGACCCACATGCAGAACTTACTTCTTCAACACAGCTTCCCCTCAATGAGTTCTGCACACAGACAGATAGGCAACACACCCATTGACTCATACACGCTAAAATCCTTATAAATGAATCAAGCTATTTCCCCTTTAGGCTGGGAAGGAAGAATAAAAATAGAAATAACAATTTCTCTAACACTTGGCAGGCACTCAGATACTATGGTGATGGAGGCACGTAAGTACTTCGCTCTATAATGAAAATTTAATTATTTGGATCTTTTCCAGAAAGATTCCATTTGCTACTGCGATAAAGCAGCAACACATGACATTTACTCGGATGAAGATCATTTGTACTAGAAACTATTCCTTCACCTTGCCCTACGATTTTAGCAAAGAAAAGACATCAGTGACTATAAAAGTGCGACAAGTTTGTAAATTTAAAACATACACCTATACCCCTACACAGCGTAAACTTCCAAACGTGACTAGTGATTTTGAGTTCCCAACATGACACACCTTAGAGAGTTTTTCAGAAAACGGATGCTCAATTATTGCCAAAAATTTGATTATTTTTAAGATCACTCAAAAACAGGCACTCTAAATTCACTTTAGAAAAAGTAGGCTATATTTTTAATCAATATGTCTCCATCCTCCTCATCCATACTCTGCTAAGTAGTCTCTACACATGCAAGGAGACCTCAAAGATTATAGGTCTACTTGTATACATAAGGACTATTCACATAAGTAAGCATCTGCAAGATCATGCCTTTAAATGGCTTGTGTTACTGTTATCCTCGATAATTCAAAGCCTGCTAATCGTTTTCTTTTTATGCTGAGAAGTATGAGCAGAGAATTCTAGGTTTACAGATGCACCGAATCTCATGTTACAAAGCCTTAAAATGTTTACCAGGTACCTATTTCCCTGAGGCAGATAAGCAGATATGTGGGACTTGCAGCAAGGTAGTACTGTACCCTAGACCTAGACCCTGATCACTATGGTGAGGAAAAGCTCTGTCAGCCGGGAGACAGTTGGGAGCTGCTGGAGCCTGTCACCATGGCCGGAGTCTTTCATGGGGACAGGGAAAGGCTCTGGCAGTGGGACATTACACTGCTGAAAACAACAGTGGGAGGCAGCTCTTGGGTGCATACAGAGCTGCGTAGGGTGCATCCTCAAGGGTTCAGGTGTGCAGGGCACGCTACTCCCGTAAGTCATGCCTTACAGTCTACAGTGCTATTTATACCGGGGCTAGTGGGGCCTGCAGTGTCTGTACTCGACACATCACCCTTCCTGTAGAGGTACCTTCAGTGTTCAGAGCGAGAGTGCAATTTACAACAGTCCCGTCAGTTTCACTGATTTTGCTCAGAACATTCTGAACAAGATTTTTGTAAATTCCACTCTGCTGCTGCCAGCTGTGGTGGGGTGTGGCCAGGGAACTTCCTGTAGCCACTGAGTGAGTAGGGATGACATTACAAGCAATAAGATATCTGCAGTTAAATAACTATCTCTGCTGCAGTTTGAAACATTTCATTTTAAGAATCCCTTCCTGACACTCTTCCAATCCCTTCCCTCCCATTTGGCTTAGAATTTTACTGTTGGCTAATTAGATATATTTAGTTTCTTACATTTCCAGAACTGCATTCCTCAAGTACACAACCACACCCCTCTCTGCAACTGAACAGACTGCAGAAAGTTGCCATCTCAAGACACTGAGGCTGAAGGATAGCACATTTCAACTACATTCTGGCCTCCTAAATAACTTCCAGTCTTACACTCACCAGTGCTCCTCTGATCACACTTGCTTTGGCCTAGTCTACCCCTAACACTCAGGTCAACCTAGCTACATCGATCATGGCTGTGAAAAATTTCACACTCTCAGCACCACAGTTAGGTCAGGCTAACCCCTGGTGTAGAAGCAGTTAGTTGGCAGAAGGATAAATCTTTCATCAGCCTACCTACCACCTTTCGGAGACATGGATTAATGGAGAAACCCCTTCCACTGATAAGGGAAGCATCCACACTACAGTGGCTCAGCTGCAGCGCGTTCACTGTGTGGTTGCAGCGTAAACATGGCCTTCCTTTGTTATTGCTGATCAGTACACTTGTAAAGCTGCGCAATGAAGCCTTACTTCAGTAAAATCCTAAAAAGCTGCATGTAATCCTACACCGTTTCAGATGGCTGCCGCTGAGAAAGCGCTAGTGTGCAGAGGCACAGATATTAAATGCTTTCTATTTCTCTTCCCAAGCTAGCGAGAGAGATTCTGAAGACCAAAGGGTACAGAAGAGAAAAGAAATTTGCAGAATGTAGGGATCAGATAATTCTAACTCTTTTGACTTCCAAATCTCTCCAGGTCAAAAAGCTAGCCCAAATCAGTAGAAATTTAAAATTACTATGTAATGGCTGTTTAGTTTCCATTCATACGCAAAACGAGTTGGTGGTCTCATGGTCTTTGTCCGGTTTCTAGTGGACAGGTATCTACCCCACAGAATCACAACTGCTATAGCACTTTTAACAAGATGCCAAAGACTGAATGAGCATCAAGACCAAACTATCCTCCGTCACCTAGAGATGGTTCATCTGGAATAGGCTTGAGACACACCACTGCCTATTTTCTATTTGTTCTGTAGCTAAAAGGAAACTTTCACCTGTAAAAGCTGTCGATCTGGCACTTGTCTTGAGCTCTAAAAATGTACTAATGTTTTAAAAACAACGAACAGCTCACTCATGAGGTTAGCAGAGAAGAAATTTGGATCCAAGGCTAAAAATGTCACAAGAGGCAGAGAAAAAATATAGCTCTCAACATCAGAAATGTCGAATTCACGAATCATAATGGTCAGTTACCGACAATACAGTCATTAGGACTAATAATACAGTATACGTCAAGAAATTGAAGAGATGTTCCAAAAGGAAGAGGATACAAAGACGGAGAGATTCAGTTCCGGTTGGCTTCAGCCGTTATCTTGATGGATGAACTCATCCCACTTGGGAGGATAATGGAGACCTTCATAGTAAACCAAAATTTCTAAAACTAACCAATGATCAAGGCAGAGGAAAAGTAGGAGAAAAAGGTTTCAAAACCCTTCTGAGAGAGAGGAAGGCAGAATGATAATGCAATACAAATAAAAAGGCAGCACAGACTGTCTAATCACTTTAAAAATATGATATACTAGGTAAAAGTGATTAAAGAATAAATTTCCTTACCTATGTTACTAGCAAAACTAGTAGTTAAAAAAGTAAACATTTGAAAAATCCTTTCACCATTTATGCTGTTTGTCCATGCTGAGTGATGTATTAACAATTAAAAAAAATAGACTCTTCAATTTCACTTTTGTTTGGAATAAGTTTCTAGTCTTTCACTTTCTGGTTTCCATGCACTAACACAGTGAACCTTTGGTTTCACAGCACTGCAAGGGAAGACATCAATCCAAATGTAAAAAATAATTTCATTTGAGATTAGTTTCTTGTAATATTTTAAAGGGTGTTTCTGGCAATATTTAGGTTCTGTGATTGATTAAAAAAGAATCAGAATGGAATTCTATGTTTGTTATGTTTCTCTATCAAATTTCCTCCATTTGCAACTGAAAGATTTTATTTTCCCTAACTACCAGTAATAAAGGTTCTGCAGATCAAATTACGACACCCCCCCTGCCCCCGCTGTATTTGTGCAACCTCATTGTCTTCAGATCACACTTTCAGTTATACCTGCGCAAGCCCAGGTAAAGGAATGCTGTTATGTTGGTATAACTAAAAATACACTTTGAAGACAATGAGGCTGTACAGCCATATCTGAAAGAATAATCTGGCCTGCAGAACCTTTGTTTCTGGTGATAATGAATGAGATGAAGACAAGCCATTTCTCTCTCTGAGCCCAGGGTAAGGTCAGCTAGGGAAAAGAACATCTTTTTATTTGTAAACTGAGCAAAGAGATCATTTCAATGAGCACCAAAATGCTGCCACTTCTATCATACAGCACCTCTAGTGTAGGCTATAAAAAACATTTTTTTTCCTAAGTACCAGAAGCATGCCACTTTCACAAAAGCAAAGACACAGTAGTGACTTTCCCACTCGCTGATGGTCAGTTCCCCCACCCCCATTCAAGTAGATAAAAAGATAACAGCGAATTAGCTCTTTGCAGCTGTTGGGAGTGTTATGGGTGGAGCTGGTCAGAAAGGAGTGTATTCTTTTGTCAAAAAATGCTAATTTTGTTGAAATCTAAGCATTCCCAGGGACATGTCGATTTCCAAGCAATTCTCAGGGAAACCAGACAGGTTCCACCCTGCCTGTCTGGTTTCCTACTGGCTCTACCCTGGTGCCCTGTTGGGGAGTCAAGCGCCCGCAAGCCTTGAAACTCTTAACTTTTGGGGCTACCAGTGTCCCTGGGAACCTGCAAGGCAAACTGCACTGATTCATACATTCCAATGGCTAGAGGGAACCATTGTGACCATGCAAGTCACAGGGTAGAGAGCTCCCCCAAAATCATTCTTAGGGCATACATATCTTTTTAAAAAAAT